TGAAAAGATAGTACAACAAATGAACTATACATAAGAATAATATTAAGACTAGGATGTATCTTACGTAAAGTATCTTACAGAAATATGATAATTTATTTTAATTTATAGTCGATAAATTACGAAAAGTAAAAAATTTATATGTAAAATAAATATAAATTACTCATAATTCAATTTACACGTAAATTAAATTATAAGTAGATGTAAATTGACACCCCTACCTATAGCACTCAGAAAAATTTGTCAATCATTAACTTAGTAGCAGTAAATACCAACGCTTAAATGCAACGAAAATGTCAGTTCTCTTCAAAACAAGACAGCTATATAGCTTCCTGATTTCGATAGAAGTCTTCTAGTTTTTCTTCTGGTATTTTTTAGAGGAACTTCTGATTTTTGAAATTTGGATTTGGCAACCCTGCAAACGACACAAAAGAGAACCGAAGGAGAATGTAACTAAAAGAACATAAAAAAAGAGTGAATGTACAACATTGATCACCAGGGTATGATGGCATGCAGTAAAGAAAAAGAAAAGCAGCAGCTTAGATAGTGGTTCATCCTCACTCGTCCATCAAGAATTATTCTTGTTTAAAGTGACACCAGAAATAAAATAAAGAATTTTGAGTGCTCTCTGGACTGATGAACAACAAGTAGAGATACTATTGATAAGATTTGATCTAACTCCTAACTCAGAACAAGTCAGCCGAGCAGTGCATAAAATTCAGAAAAGTCTTACCCTTTAATGCTCGATTGTTTTTCAGGAAACAATCATTTCTCATTTCATTCTCTGTTTTCATATACAATGGTTTGCAAAAAAACTTGGAACAAAATTAATTTTTTTTTTGTAACGTTTTTTTTGCCATTGAAAGCGATTACAAAGCTAATATTTCTAGGGATGAATCATCGATAGCTATACTATCTGTCCCCTATACAGAAGTGTGATTTCTTTTCTTTTCGATACATATATACTTAATCATGACACCAACTAGTGATTTAAAAAATATCATATCTCAATATTACAGGGTTGAAAAAATATTATTCAAGGACGGTAACTCTATAATTTCAAATAGGAGAACCCTTACTATTTAGCATCACTAAACCCCATTTTTCACGGGCTTTCATTTGGTATAAAATTCATCATATCTCCTATTTGGAATTATAGCGTTACCGCCCTTGAATAATAATTTTTCCAACCCTGTACCAGAATTGTTAGATTGGCCATCGAACAGTCCTGATGTTAATCCCATCGAAAATATTTGGTCGATCGTAAAACGAAAGGTTGAAAATCGAAAACCCAAAAATATTGACGAACATGAACTTTTTTAGCTGAAGAATTCAAAAAATACTGAAATTAATGTTATAAAAAATTCTGTGATGTCGATGAAAAATAGATGTTTGTCTTTTATTTCTTCTAAAGGTGAACGAATAAAATATTAAAATATAGTGTTCGAAAGTACTCGTCGTAGGCTATCAACCAATATATGAACGAGTTTGAGAATGACATATACATAGGAAAATACTGGCATAACAAGTTGTGCAAGTTTTTTTGCAAACCACTGTATATCTTGAAAAGTGGATATTTTGAGAACAAAGGCACAAGGGGATAAATCCTCTTTAGATTTTTCATGCCTCATTGAGGTCTACTTATGACGAAAAGATGGGCCTAAATGGCTTGGACATGTCGATATGTTTCCTCGTTAGTTATCACCCATCGATGCTAGCAAAGATGCAGATTCATGACTTATTGTGTGTATGACACGTGCTTCCTAATTGAATTTTAGAATCAATTTAAAACACCATATCAAATTTCTTTTTTTGCTATATCGTCGTCTTTCTCTAAATCCCACCTCCAACACTAAATCCTTCAATTTTAAAAAATAAATGCTGTTCTTCGAAAACAAAAACCACTAATTAGAAAATCAAAAGGTAGAATCAAAAAGACATATAAAGCACTGCAAGTTGCACAAACGCCGCGTTTCAAATTTCTCAATTCATCGGTAACAATGTTTTCTCTCAAAAACTTCTCCTGCAATTTAGCCATACTTCTATTGTTACAAGCTTGTGTCGTTTGCTATCCAAGAGAAAAGGTAAGAATTTGAGCAACAGTTGAGGTATTAATAGTCACTCAATCATCTCAATTATTTGAAATATTTTAGGTTTTTCAACATAGTCCAGAAGAAGGTAAAAAAATTGCTTTGTTTATTCGATACGGACTCTAGATGGTATACTTTTATATTTCATTACTCCACAAAAGCTGGTGCATTCGAGGGAGATATCATACTTCCCCCACAAACTGTAAGTTAAAAACACAAATTCCTGAGAGATGAGGTCATCGACTATAATAAAAGACTGTCGATTCTTTTTCGCTAGCGTGGTGTTGGAGAAAAATCGGCGGCAGCCCGGTGGACTCATGGCATAGTACCATATGTATTCAAAGCCGGTGACTTCGGTATGTATAGTCTTTATTTCTGCTTGCTTCTTTCAAGTTATGTATTCTTGTTCTCACGAAAGAGTATCGCTTTTTTCGTATAGATGCAGGAAAAATAGCAATCATTGTTGGTGCAATGCGACGTCTCGAACAAAGTGTTGCAATTAACAACAAACTCTGTGTTCAGTTTCGACCTGCTACCGCAGCTGATAAACAGTTTATCACTATCAAAGACGGAGTTGGATGTACTAGTAGCGTAAGTTAGCCAAGGAGAAACACAGAATGAATTGTGCATGGATTTTGTTTCATTGTTACTCCTTCTCTCTTCAAGGTTGGAATGAACTGGGGTGGTGTCAAAGAACTTACTTTAGGACCAGGATGTGTACATGAAGGAACAATAATGCATGAAATGCTACACAGTTTAGGTATAATGGTGTAATTTCTTTGTTTGTTTGTTTCAGAATATGAGCAGGATTTCTCAAACCATCTGAGCTCTTATTTTAGGTTTCTGGCATGAACAATCACGACCCGATCGAGATAACTACGTGACTGTTGTATATGCCAATGTTCAGAAAGGTAAAAGCTATGCCTAGGGAGAGAAAATACGTCGAGCATGCTCTCTACTAACACGCGGCCCTCTCATCCTCCTACTGTTCTAGGTCTAGAACATGCCTTCAATAAGTACACAACAACTGTTGACACGATGGCCTTTCCCTATGATTATAACAGTCTTTTACATTATGGTACTGATTATTTTAGTGCAAATGGAAAACCAACTTTAGTGCCGAAAGATCCTTCCGCTAAAATTGGTCAACGCAATGTTTTAAGTGCAACTGACATCCTGGAAGTCCAACGTTATTATCAATGTACGGGGCCGAATGTGGGATAAAAGCGTTGAAATAAAGAGCACCTCTACGTGGGTGTGGGTGTGGGTGGGTGGGTGTGGGTGTGGGTGTGGGTGTGGGTGGGTGTGGGTGGGTGTGGGTGTGGGTGTGGGTGGGTGTGGATGTGAGTGTCATTTCCCTCTTTATTCACACCCACACCCACACCCCACACACCCACACCCACACCCCACACCCACCCACATCCACACCCACACCCACACCCACACCCAAGTTAAACATTTCATGAAGTATTGCGATAAAATATAAGATTCCAAAATAAGATTATAAAATCAATGTTACTTCATCACGAAGAATATCAGTATTCCTTTCTATAATACTCCCTAGAAAAACTTCGATTTTATGATGTAGGTATCTCTGACATTGTTTCTGGTGGCAGCTACAAATTAGTAAACATTAACAGCAACAAGGT